GCTGAACAGTCCCAGGTCTCAGCCTTTCCTCATAAGGAAGGTGCTCCAGGCTCCTCATCCTCTTTGCAGCTCTTTGCTGGACTCTTTCCAGTAGTTCCCATCTATCTTGTACTGAAGAGCCCAGAATTGGACACAAGAATCCAGACGTGGCCTCACCAGGGCAGAGTAGAGGGGGGATCACCTCCCTCAGTGTACTGGCCACGCTCCTCTTGATGCACCCCAGAATACTGCTGACCTTGGCTACAAGGGCCAACCTGTTATCCATCAGGGTACCCAGGTCCTTCTCCACAGAACTCCTTTCCAGAAGGCCATCCCCTAAATCCATATCAATGCCCGTGGCTACTCCTCCCCATGCTTTGAACTCTACACTTGCCCTTGTCGTACTTTATCAAGTTCCTCTCTACCCAGCACTCCACCTGTCCAGGTCTCAATGAATGGCAGCACAACCTTCTGGCATGTCAGCCACTCCTCACAGCTGCAGATCAGCAGCAAACTTGCTGGGTGGGGGGCACTCTGTCTCTTCATCCAGGTCCCTGATGAAGATGTTGAACAAGACTGTTGCCATTGTACAGGTTAGAAATGCTTGCTATTTCTCCGTGCTTAACAGTGTAATTCACTGACTATTCTGTTTATTCACAGAGGTTAATGCCAACTTTCCATCTGATATCTTAGAGCTACAGATAACTCAAAAAAAATCTTATCTTGTTCCAAAAATAACATAGCTATTGACTTGCCTTTGCTAGCTAGTATCAATATATGGCATATGTTGCCATATTCGCACAAAATAACTTGGAATAATAATGAGAAAATGTACTTATTTCTAAGTACACAAGAGTTTCTACTGAAAGCTGAATGAATGTTAATAATTCAGCCACTAAGAAATAATTCTTGCTGCAATTTGGTACTCAAACGTCTAAAAATAAATTGGCAAACTTTTAAAGTGGGTGAGCTTCTTTTTTACTATATCATTTCAGAGTATGCTTTTTTTTTTTTTTTTTTTTGACTGATGTGAAAAATGTATGTCTAAGAAAATTCTACCAGTTTAAGTACATCTAGGATATTATGAATGGCTGCGGGCAGCTCCATGATGGGACTAGATTTAGAAGCCTCTAGTGATTGAAGAACAACGTGATGGAAGGCTAACTTGCCACATTAGGAGCTGTTTCACAACATTTATGCTTCAAACTTGACTAAGAAGTTTGGAGCAGCTAGGTCTACAAATATTTACAAGGAAGAAGACCACTTGTAGAATAGGAGCCTGGATTTGCTCCACAGAGTTCATAGGGCTGGGACTATGTGAAGTCACATTTTTGGTATCTGTTATCACGGCCGTGCTTTCTCTGTGTTGCCAGTGGAAGGGAGTTCTCCACTATTCATTTGCAGCTACAGGATGGCTCTAAATTGTGCATACTTGAGAAAAAAAAGGAAAAGAAAAAAACAGGAAAGAATAATTTGGTTCATGAAAACCAAAGAATCACCAAAGTAGCTTGCTTTTTGTGCATGGCTCCTGCACATGCACAGACACTCTCCAAATACTGTTGTGATTAAGATAATAAGCAGTTGGAAACAGTAGAAGGAATTCACTTCTTAAGTACTGCAGCAATCTTCAGCATGCTATTTTTTTCTTAGAAATTACACTGTGAAGTGATAAAGAGGAGTTTTAGAGCCAAAATAAAACTGCAATGGTTTTTCTCTAAAGCTGTCTTTTCCCACTGTCTCCCAGAAGGCATATTGTGTTCTTTTTTTCTGTAGGACAGAAGCAATAAAGCAATTAAGTACACATATGTGGTGCTCAGGGACATGATTTAGCGAGGAGTTGTTAGAGTTAGGGTAGTATGGTTAGGTCGTGGTAGAAATCGATGATCTTTAAGGTCTTTTCCAACCTGAGCAATTCTATGATTCTATGATACACTACAAGTGTTCAGAGAAGGGCAATGAAGGTGCGAGGGGTCTGGAGCACAGGTCTTATGGGGAGCAACTGAGGGAACTGGGATTGTTCAGTCTGGAGAAGAGGAGGCTCAGGGCAGCCCTTATCCTCTATAACTGCCTGAAAGTAATCCCTGGTGAGGTGGGAGTCGACCTCTTCTCCTGGATACAGTGCCAGGAGTGAAAGCTGACAGCCTCAGATGAACCAGGGGAGATTCAGTTTGGATATTTGGAAAAATTTCTTCCCAGAATAGTGGTGAGGTATTAGAAAGGCTGCCCCATGGAATCACCATCAGAAATGCGGAGATGTGGCACTGAGGGGCATGGTTTAGTGGGTATGGTGGTGATGGGTTGATGGTTGGACAAGATGATCTTAGTGGTCTTCTACAACTTAACTATTCTATGATCCTATAGTTTTCATCAGCAAACTATCTTTATATTTTCCAAGACTGTTTTCCAAGAGTTTATCTGACAAAGTCAGCCAGCTACAGCAAGAATGAAACCATACAATTTTAAACTGAGTATCTTTGTCCTACAGGCACAGTGCCACACAACCACAGGCAGTCAAGGCCACTCTGAGCAACATGCACGTTTCCCACAAGTTTCCCAACCAATCCCAGACTTAGGGGCAGGCATCAGCCCACTCCCAGTTACTCGCTGGCAGTGTGCAGCCTCTCCCTGCCTCACCTGGAGGCTGCACCTGAGCACTGGGCCCATGCAGGGTCTCATGGCTGTGTGCCATACAGTGACTCTAGTTATCCAGAGCCAAGGGATGGGCACAGAATGGGACACCAAACTGTAGGATGGTCTTCCCAAACAGAATGGATGAGTTCAGACACATTTTCAGTCAATAAATGTCAATCTTTTTGTATCTCCTTCTATTTTCCTCCTCTCCCTGTAGAAATGAGACAGCCCCAGAGGCCTCAGCGAGAAGGTGGTTACACCCTGCCCACCAAGCCTGAGATAAGCATGTTGATCAGGACTGGAATTGCAGTAATACGCATTTATACAGGTATGCATATCCTTTGGAATGCATTCATATACACAAGAGGGCTGCTCTGAAAGTAGTGCCTCCTCTTTTATTATGTCAGCCCACAACAACAGAGGCTCATGTTGGTGTTATGGCAGTAGAGGCTGAACCTTCCTGCCAATATTCTGTTAGGTGTTGTTGCTGTGTGACAGATGGCAGCAGAGGAACAATCTGCCAAAATGGCGTCTGACATGAAAGTGCATATGAAACAAAGGCGTACTACTGAAATCCTCCATGCAGGAAAAATGGCACCTAGTGACATTCACTCATGCTTGCTAACATTTATGGAGACCAAGCAGTGGATGTGAGCACAGTGGGGCGGTGGGTAGTGTATTTCAGCAGTGGCGACAGCAACAGCAGATCACCTCTGCTGGTGCAGATGTTTAAAAGCACAGCATGTAAGCTCCTCTTCATTGCCTAGCGAAAATGCCTAGCTAATGGTGGTGGTTGCATAAAATACAGTGTTTCGCAGCTGAGAACTTACTGTGCTCTTTGTTACAGTTTTAGTGGAAATAAATAGGAGGCACGACTTTTGGAGCAACCTCCATACACAGCAATACCCACCCACTCTCCAGCCATCCCACCGCACCCCCTCACGGTGCCACGCCGGGTTTCGAATCCGCAGCTCGGCTCCACGCCCCGCCCCGCTCCTCCGTCTCGTGACCGACGCTGCGGCGAGATCAGCTGACCCGGCGGCTCACGTGACGAGGCGGTGGTTGTGCGGGCGGCGCGCGGCTGCGGCGCGAGATGGAGCAGTGACGGGTGAGCGCCGCGCGGGGTGGCTGGGAAGGAGGCCGCGGCCGGGCCCGTGCGGGGTCGCCGCCGTCGTCTTCCTCTGGCCCCCGAAGCCGCGGCCGGGCCCGGTGGGGAGGACGAAGCCGGCCGGGCCCGCTGCCTGCCGGCCTACCGCCGGCGGTTGCGCTCGCGGCTCCCGCCCCCGGGGTCGGCCGCAGGCGCTGCGTACCCGGGCTTCGGAGCGGGCGGCATTGGGGCGGCCCCTGCCTGTACCGCTTCGCACCGAGGGACCGCGGCTCAGAGCCTTCCCTGCCGCCGCGGCTCATGCCTGTGCTGCTTGGCGCTGAGGGCCGCGCGCCGGGCGTCGGCCGTGAGTTCTGGGAACGGGCGCAGAGAAGCGACGTGGCGGGGCTCAGGACTGCCGGCCGGCCTGAGCGCTGCTGAGGGAGGTTTGCGCTGAACGGGAAATACGGTGCCTTCACTTCCCTCTCCTGCATCGTTCTTGAGAAACGCAGCGCGAATTCTGTTCTGACATGGCCTGTGTGTTCCCATAGTTGAGGTGTGCGTTCAGGGGCTTTGTTGCTGACGTTGGAGCCACTTTTCTTTGGAAACCCATTCCGAACAGAAATTAAACAATCTCAATTACAAGTAGCAACATGAGAAACATTAAAAATGCTTCAGTAGCTGACATCAGCTGGATATAGCAGCTGGGGCTCAAAACTGATACTGTGGAAGAAAACTTAAGGGGAAAGGAGTACTTCAAGAGTATTTTAGAGATGAGCTGTGCTTATTTGGCAGGCACAGCACATGACAGCGTGGTTATGTTACCTGGGCCTCTTTACGGTGGCGTATGGAAGGCTTTATTGCCCATCAGAGTTCTGCTGCAGGCATGGTTAGGTGGAGGCATCAAGGAATTCAAAGAGTGCTGTAAATCTGAATTGAGAGAAGTATGTTCTTGTGGATTTGTGGTATTATGGCCTTACAGGTGAGAGCTGCGTTCTTTGTGAATGCTAAGCAAGGTGAGGTCAGGTCAATATTACTGATGGTTACAGTGGTTACTGCAAGATAGGGTTACTTTATTTTCATGAACTTTTAAGATACCAACACTCCAGGTGATCGTTATGGGAGTAGGAATTTCATGACCTACTAGTATTATAAGAACTGCTGTCACCAGCTCAGTCCTGTGCAAACTAAGAGAGGGGAGATTTACTTTAGATGTTAGGCAGAAATTCTTTACTCAGAGGGAGATGAGACGCTGGCACAGCTGCCCAGAGAAGCTGTGGATGCCCCATGCCTGAAGGTGTTCAAGGTTAGGTTGGGCTGGGCCGTGGGCAGCCTGAGTTGGGGACTGGCAACAGAAGGGAGCTGGAACAGGATGGACTTTAAGATCCCTTCCATCCCCAGACATTCTGTGATAAAGCTGAAACTCCAGAATCTGTTCTCAGAACTTCCATTTAAGTCCAACTTTTGAAAGTTCATTGTGGTCTATAGAGAAATTTTTGCTTAAATTTTCTTTCTTATGTTTCTGACTTAATGTGTTAAGACTTTTTTTTTTTTTTTTTTCCCCAGCTGTATAGCAAACACTTCTTGCTAAGTTGGCCAGAAGATAGAGTGACATCTCAAAAAGTCTTTCATTTCTTGACAGGTAGTTTTATTGGTGCTCAGCAGAATTAGGACTGTGATTCCTACCGGCTTAGAATCACAGTGGCTGTAGTACTGAAATAACAGTGTTAAGAAGATTTGAAAGTTTGATTAAATGTGTTGGTGCATTGAATGGTCTAAGCTGATAGATTTGTGCGGTGGACAGTTCCATCTAGGAATGAGGTTATCTATTTATAAATGTTTCTGCTTTTTATGAGTGTGCCTCAGAAATAATAGGAATAGCAAAAATAGCTGACAGTAATTAGGTGAGACAGTGCTATGACAGCTTGCACTCAGTGGTATGTCACAGAGCAGTGCCACTCATGGAGGTACAAGTTGTAAGCCCAAGTTCTCATTGGCTCTTACTGCTGTTTCTCAGTTTTGTACTTGCTGGATTCTTGGCTTTCCTCTGGGATTGTTGTTCCAGAACATGAAAGCAGACAAGTTTGGTAAACTTTGACCGGAATGATCTCGAGGCTTCCAGTTCGCAGATTCCAACTGACCTAAAGAGAGAATAAATTCACTACAGCGGTGGATCTCAAGGAAGGCTTTATGTATGTCTGTAAATATATATATAAAATGTATACATATACACCATTATTTGCAGTTCTAAGGAGTAAAATAGTAATTTACTTAAAATTAAAATAAAGCTGTCTACATTCTTGCATGCTCTGAACACTTGGTATTTCCTGCTTTATTCTCTGGTGCTCTTTAAGTGTAACAGCACTTCTCCTTTTTCCAGTTCTTGTTTGTTGTTCCCTAGTTCTGATTGCAAATTCCATTTTCCTTATGTTGAGCAAATATGGGAGCAAGCACATAAAATTCTATGAAGCTTCTCTGCCTCGTGTCTATTTGAAAATATATCTGGCCCCGTAAAAAAGCCCCACTGTTCAGACTAGTCTGTGTAACTGACTGGAATAGTGCCAAGCTGTCAGTCTTTCACCCACGTCAGATAATCCTCTACTCTGCTGAGGTGGCTGGGATGGGGAATGGGCTGTTAGAAGTGGAGCAGTGCTTCAGGAACAGCAGTCCTGCAGAGGAGAAGCATTATTACCCAGCTCTGTGGTTACTGGGAGCAATAGCTGCTCCACTTGCCACAGTTGTTCATCTCAGCAGTCAAGATCAATTCATTTTCCCTTCAGGTATTAAAGAATTATGAAGTGCTCTTGTTCTTGTTTTTTAAGCAAGGGAAAAGATTTGCCAAAGTTTGTCAGGTGTTTTTAACTTTGTAGTACATTTGTCTTGATTTGAAATTGAAATGGTTAATCTTTGAAAACCGTCTTTAAAAGGCCAAAACACTAATTGAAGAGATCATTCTTTGCAGTGGATTGGTTAACATCCAGAAAAAAAATCGTCTAGATTTTTGACAGTGTTTTTCTTTTTCAGTCTCTAACACAATGAATGAGACAAACTCGTGGTGAACATGTAACTGTTTCCTTAGATGACATGTTCTATGGAAACTTCAAACATTTTCCTTACGATGTATTTATATTTTTAATGGAAAGCTTGAGAACGCAGTGTTCCATCTGTTTTTCTGAACAAAAGCCTTGGGCTTCTGTGTTACGGCTCTTCTGCCTTCTACAAGTGCTTTGCTGCTGCTGCCATCTGAACTGGTTCCTCTTATTTATCCAGCATTCATTCCGAAGCCTCTTCAAGCCCTGGTGTAACCAACTCCCAGCGAAAACCAATCTAACAATTAAACACTTGAGTGCACGTGTAAGCTGCGGCCATGTCTCCTTGTGGGGTGAAGTTGACTGTAAACTTGGTGGTGTTTTTTATACGGTCAGTGTTCATTGAAGCATGAGGATAAGTGAAGTGCCTTGTATTCACTAAGTTTAGTGTGTGTTAGGGAGGATAATGCATCTAAGTGATCAAAATAAGAAAAACTCTTCTCCCATTCCGAAGTGCTGGTTGCAGACCCCCGTGGAAGCCCGTTGGTACGGTTAGCGTTTCCCTAAGCAATCCCTGTAAGATAATTTGTGTTTGGTACATGCACTCTCTGTGATGATATTAGTATGATCTTATTGAACATCTGTGATGAGAGCAAGGGTACCAAGGGTAAAAGAGCTCTCCTTCATGTTGAAATGAGTGTCTACATAATAGGGTAATATGTTCATAGAATCACAGAATGATTTGGGCCGGAAGGGACTTTTAAGATCATTTAGTTCCAACCCCCTGCTATAGGCAGGGACACCTCCCATCAGACCGGGTTGCTCACAGCCCCATACAGTCTGGCCTTGAAAGCCTCCCTGGAAGGGACATCCACAGCCTCTCTTGGCAACCTGTTTCACCGCCCTCACAGTAAAGAATTTCTTCGTAATATCTGGTCTAAATCTGCCCTCTTCCAGTTAAAGCCATTTCCCCTCATCCTGTTATTACACACCTTCATATAGTCCCTCCCCAGCTTTCCCATCGATTCCCTTCACGTACTGGAAGGCAGCTATCAGATACCCTCAAAGCCTTCTCTTTAGGCTGAGGTGCCCCAGCTCACTGGGTTACTGGGTCTATTTTCAGTTAGATTGCATGTGATCTTTTGTAGGAGTTGCAGGTGTTAATGTTGCAAACTCAGTCTTTAATGTGTGGGTTGGGCAGTTTAAAAAGACTGCAACTGTGCAAATGTGTAAGACAGTGAAAGAATTTCTGTAAGACAGGAGAAGAATATGGAACCAGGTGAATAATGTCAGTAGAATCTCATCTGGTGGCTAGGGCTGCACTACAGTTACGTGGAACAAGAGGTTTTTCTTCAGGCAAAGCTTTAAATCGGAACTAATGGCAGATATTCTTTCCTTCCCAAACTCTCATTTTTTCCTGCCAGCATCTTGACTCTGTCTTGAGAAGCAGAAGCGTCGCAATAGAGACACAGAGATGACTGAGTTTTGGCTGATTTCAGCTCCTGGGGAAAAAACCTGTCAACAGACATGGGAGAAACTACATGCAGCAACTACAAAAAATAACAATCTCTCAACTAATTCCAAGTTCAATATTCCAGACCTGAAGGTAGGTAAGCTCCCTATCACGTGCAGGAAGTACATTTGTTTCGTAGTGCGTTTGCTTTTTTTTTCCTAAAACTGTAGGTGATGAATACTTGGAACCTTGTTAGAAAAATAAACAGCTGATGTCTCTTGGAGTATGTGTGGGTCCAAAAAATTGATTTAGACAATCGATTATCTTTTTATCTGGAAGTCTAGGATGAAAATTCTTCACTCTAAGTTTTAAATGCTCAGCAAGCTGCTCTTTCAGAGAATACGTTTTTTTTCCAGGAAAAACAGTCTTGATCTCCTACTGCCAGCAGTTGGCCAGAGAAGAAAATTAACTTTGGAAATTAAGGTGTAAATGGAGACATGTGATTTGAGTGTTCAGATGAGAGTTTTCTTTGATTTTTATTTGTTTCACTTCTGAATTGTCTTTTCTGACTGAGAAGCGATGAAATGGGTTGATTTAAAACAAGGGAGATGATCAAGCAGCAGGTGTCTTTATGTTCAGAAGTAGCATTCTTCAGGTAGATTAGTGATTATGTCCAGCTGAGCATTCCAGTGTGACCTGCCAGTATGTTACAGAGAAGAGGAAGAACGCTTTTTCAACTATTTCTGCAAGAAGGAAAGAGGGTTGTTCCTCTAAAAGCATGTTTCTCTTGGTTAACTACTATTACCAGGGATGAGAAAGGGTAGGAAGACAGCATGTTAAAGAAAAAAGGTCTACCTGACACCTGGATGCTTCTTGAACAAAAAGAATGGTAAGCTCAGTTTAACTTCTTAGAACTGTAAGATTAGCAAAAATGAAGGGCAAAAATGCCACCCCTGTCTATCTGTACACGAAATGGTTCAAGTGGGGTGATGCTTCATCCTGTCTCCACTAGGGAATGGACCCAGAGCACCCAATGCTTTACTGCTTCTTTTAAGAGAATTTTCCATTTGCCAGGTTAACATTCACTTTTAGACCATCCTGAGTTATTTTAGATATGAATTAGTAAAGGGGTGATGAGGGCCTTTGGCAAATGTCAGTCTTCTCCCCAGAGGAGGTGAGGTGCCTTGGTGGTGAGTCAGGATGACGTTCAGCTTGTAAGCTGCCAACAGTATTTAGAAGAATTAATACTAAAAACTTATGTGGCCATTGTGGCTATTAACATTTGTTTTCATTTCTCCTCTTGCATTTCCTATGTACTAAAATTATTCAGATTCTGTCCCTTTTAAGAATATTCTTTATATACAGTGGGACATAATCTGGCTTCTGTGTATCTAGTAAAAGTATGCTAGGACTGACATCCTTTAGTGAATGCTTGTTATTGGAAGCAGTCTCCACTGAACAGCAGCTGTATTACTCAGGGACTTATTTGTGCTGTAAATGAGTAGTTAAGACATTAGCTTCCTTATTCTTGCTGTAGCTCAGAAGAAGGCGAGTCTGGGAAAGATGTTATGACATTGCTTAAGTAGTTCTCTTTTCTGCTTCAAGGCTGTAGAAAACAGGAATTGGGCTAAGATGAATAGTCAGATCTGTGAATGGCATAAAGATACTAGACTGAAAGATACTATCATCTTTGCCAGATGGAAGATTTGATTTCTGCATAATAACAGTCTAGCAAGAAACATAAGCGAGTAGCTGAAACTTTGGAGTTTGAGAGTCATCTTTTTGTAGATAGGTCCTATTTTTATTGAACAGAATGAATAAATGTGTCTGTGCTTGAAGCAGTCCTAAGAAACTCTTATAACGTGACCAACTCAAAACAAAATCTCTCTTCGGCTGTTAAACTTGAGCATTACGGGGTTTTTTGTATCTTAAACCTGTTTGAGGTTTGTGTAAGAACAAACTAAATCATGGAATACTTAACTACTGTGCTGTAATCTTCATTGCTTAAATTGTTCTGAGTCTGAAATAGTCATCCCTGACCCTAAAAAGTCTATCTATTGCTCTAGACTATTGTATGAGTTTTGAGAAGAAAGTGTTCTCCACTGGGGAGTGGAAGAAAGTAAAAGCTTGTAGACAATCTAAAAATATTTCATTACTCTGGGTACAGAAAGTCTTAGACTCTTGTTGGCCAGACTGCTGCAGAACTATTGAATCTTGTGCATGTTCAAAGTTCTGGTTGCTTCCGGCGCAGAGATGCCCAATTACAGAAATTTCAGACTTGATCCAAAGTAGTAAATAAAATGCTGAAGCAAGAGACTTGTGGAAAATGCAGCCAATTCATAGTATAAAAGTTGGTTTCATATGCTCTGCAAGGCTAGAATGCTAAAACAGTGTGCCAGGCTACAGCGAGTTCGATCTAGTGCCGCTGAACTTTAGGGATATCTTAGGCATGCAGAAGAAAGTGTGACTTTCTTAGATTAACAACTCTGAAATATTGGAGTGCTGTATTTTTTGTAGTTCTGCAAAGCTGCCTGTTGAGGAGATTTGGCTTTTACTGTCATGTGGTTTTCTTTTTAGGCTTGCATACAAGTGCTAACACGTTGTGATCTTTCCTTCTAGGTTGGCACGCTGGATGTTTTGGTTGGTCTGTCAGATGAGCTGGCTAAGCTGGATGCATTTGTGGAGAGGTAACATTTTATTTTTACTAATGTGCAAAATATTAGAGCAGTTATGTTGACACTTTACCAATCCATAATGATGCATGGATTGTTTTCATCTTTTTTGTTTTAGTGTTGATCTTCTTAGCTTACTGAAATCTTAGCTTGTTGACTCCCCATAGAAGATGCTTTTTTTTCTAGTAACTTACTTGAGGGGGAGTGAAGAATCCATAAGTTAATTCTTATGGAATAATGGGACATGATGTATGGATGAAAGATGGTTCCCCCTGTAATAGTGCTGTGCATTGCCAGATCCTGGAGAACTTTAAGAATTGAACCTGATGGCTGCAGGAAATGACAGTGCAATTGGGTAAAACATATTCTTCTAGTATAACAGAATACTGTTTACAGGCTTCAGGAAGGTTCCTAACCCACAGAGGTGATTAAACAACATTAAGTCTTAAAACTGTCCATTTTGAAGGAATTAATGGTCCTTTGAAAGTGATGTTGAGCAAACAAAATTACATAGCCAGGATCTGTGGAGCCATCTTCTGTTTCAAGGAGAGAATTATTAAGTAGTTGTGTTTAAGTTATGTTAGATTACTCAGTTGTTGCCAGCATGGCACGTGAGCAATAGTGAACATTGCTTTTCTAGTGGGGAAAGCAGGTCTTGTACCTCAGATCTCATGAGGCTTAGAGCTGGAATTTCTCTGTAGTTCTTCAGTTACCTTTGGTATCTCGTCTCAGTTGCCTTTAATTTTTTGTTAGTTATGGGCTTGTACCTCCCAATCTATTTTGAGAGAGGAGTTAAGATTTTGAAATTACAGACTTGAAGGTTGGGGTGTAGCAGAAAGTAATGTCACCTTGTTGAGAACTGATGAATTGCAACACTAGAAAAGAATTTTTAGAGAATTCTGACGTGTATCTCAGTGAGATACTGAGCACAGTTTGTGCTCTTGGAAAGCTAATATGTAAAACAACTAACACTTTGTTTTTGATCCAATCTCTTAATTCTTTTCTCAGGCAATTTCAGATCAGCTCTATGAATGGAGTTAATCAAAATGGCAATTTTTTTCCCCTCTTATTTATAGCTTAATCTTTCATTTTTCAGTGTCGTAAAGAAGGTGGCGCAGTATATGGCTGACGTTTTAGAAGACAGTAAAGATAAAGTTCAGGAGAATCTTCTGGCTAATGGAGGTAAAGTGTTAACAATAACATGCATTGTAAAAGGAGTGGGAGGGAAGGAGGTGATCCAGATATGTTCTGCTGCTTCTCTTTGATGGTCTGAAAGCCTAGTTTAGGCACGGAAGTAAGTTTTCCTATGAGTCATTTGCCATGGAAGAAATGATAGGATCCAAAATGGCAAGTAATTATAGATCTGCATATGAAATATTCACATTCCAAGGCCCTTTGATCCTTTGGGGCTGTCATCACTAGTCTCTGAAGGAACGTAAAGGTTGCTGATCATTGTAAACAATATTGTCTGTCTTAAAGTCCTCCTTTATCGCTTCAGTTGACTTGGTCACATACATAACAAGGTTCCAGTGGGATATGGCCAAATATCCGATAAAGCAATCATTGAAGAATATTTCAGAAATTATTGCAAAGGTAAGATCGTTTGTTTTATAAAGCTTAATTGACCTTTTGTTATTTGATGCACAGTGTGATGTTCAGAGCTTGTTTCTAGTTTGCCAGCTTCATTCATCTTTGAGAGTAGTAGCAAGCCTGTAATAGCAAGACGGGGACAGGAACTGGAGACTGCGCTCACTGAAGGCCACAAGCTGTCCCTCTCTGCTGTTTTTATTTCCTAAGACCATGAATTTAACAAATAGCTAGCAAATTATTTCACTTGCTATCTAATTTTTTGCTGTACTAGCTTTACACTTGTCTGATGTTATCGAAGGTTGTGAACTCTTAACATTGAAATCACAGCGTTTATTTACCTTCTGGAAGCCACAGTGCCCAGCTGTGAGGTGAAAACTAAGCCTTCAATGTAAGAAAAGCTCATCTCATTGTTGTGGTTGTTTTCTTTCTTTCTCTTCATGCTGGTAAAGTGTTCATAATGTTGCAGATTTCATTTGTACTTGATGTGAGCATGGATAATAAGATCTTGAGTACCAAGTTACTGCATTAGAATGGTGAAAGAGTTTTCTGTGAGCTATTCTTGCTTTAAATATCTTCTGAGTTTTTCCAGTTTCTTTTCTGTGTTTTGTGATCTTCAAACAGCTCTGGAGATATTTGCATTGGTAAGATATGTAACCAAGAATAAAAGTGCAGTAGCTGCTCTGGATACCTTTGAGAGAGTCTTTGGTGTTGGATATGTGGATGCAAGAACTGGGAGGAGTTGCATGTCAGTTCTGGCAGGCTGATGCTTTGCACTAACTGCAGATTCCTTTTGCAAGTTTCTTTCCTGAAACTATTTAAAACTTTTGCAGACACTATAAAGTCTTAGTTACATTCTCACTCATCATTATTAACACTTTAACTTTGATACATTCTTTGATGCTGTTGCTATGTTGCTATGAATTTGCACCTGAAATTATGTTCAGTAATGTAATGATTCCTGGAAAACATCTGCGGTGTGATGTTACGTGGTGGGAATAAGGACTGAATTATGACTTTAAGATTTACATATTAAAGTATTCCACGCATTTAAAATATGATACTATCTAAGAACCTGAGTGCTTGCTTCTTCACAAGGAGCTGAAAGTGAGTGTTTCATTTTCATACCTTACTGCAGGTACTTGAGAGAGCAAGTATGAAGTTTAACTTGGGAGAAGAGAAACTCGTTTTTTGTAGCAGTTAAGTTGGTTGAGAAAGCCACAAAGAACTTGAAGGGATGATACTGTTTGTTGAAATATTTTCAAGGATTCAGTGCATGTTTTCCTGTGTCCTAGAGCTTGCTGGATAAATTATCTGCTTGCAACAAAGCTGGGCTCCAGAAGCTGGACTTTAAATGAGCACCTCACTGAGTTGAGCAGAGGAATGATCTGGAAAGAGGAAAACATCTGCTCATTTGCTGGAGTTCAGCCTGAAATTGGCATCTTTAGGTTGCTTTTTCTCTGAGTGATTTTCTGTACCTCTCTCCTTGATAAACTGTTACAGCAGCACCGTGAGCCTACCTCTCTTATTTGTAAGGGTGTTTGTGAACTTTCTGGTTCTTTACTGAGAGAGTGGTGAGGTGCTGGAACAGGCTGCCCAAGAGTTGTGGATGCCCCGGTCCCAAGGCCAGGTTGGATGGGGCCTTGGGCAGCCTGGTCTAGTATTAAATGGGGAGGTTGGTGGCCCTGCATGTGAAGGGGAGGTTGGAGCTTCTTCATCCTTGAGGTCCCTTCCAACCCTGGCCATTCTGTGATTCTATGAATTCTTACAGCGAGACAAAGTTTGAAATGTGGCTCTTGCCAGTGTTACACTCCAGTGTATTTTCAAGAGTCCCACTGTGATGTTGAGGTGTGCAGCTCTGTGTTTTCTGGTAGTTGAGAAGGAGGCAAAGCTGATTCTTTTTTATGGTAAACTCCAGTCAGTGCAAGTTTTCTTTTAAAAGGCTACTGACTTTACAACTGAGAGTGGTTAAAGGATTGACAACTGGAAAGTAATGAATGGAACTGCTTGATAAAGAAGTTTGGTATCAGCTGTTTTTGATTTGTCATTAAGCAATGTGCTTTCAACAGTTGTTGAAAGTTTTGATTGTTGAAAAGCGAAAGGGGGAGGCTGCCAGCCTGGGAAGATATCCAAATGCACCTGCTTCATGCTTCATAGTATCTGATGCTTTTTCCCTAATGCTGGCTTCTAGCTGTGAACATGTTAGTGCTGTTTCTTGTGGTATAAAAAAGTTGTCATGAAGAGATGTGCTTTGTAATGGCTGCCAGAATGTTCCTCACACGTCGTTAAAAGTGACATCAGTCAAAGGATATAAGTAGCTGTAAGTAGCTGGTATGTTTAAAGCACAAGCTCTCTTATTTCAGAGTATTTTGTCTAAAGCATTGCTGTATATCTGCAGAGGTGCAACCTGTTCACCTGTTGTTGAATGAAACTGCCAGGGTGTTGATGCTTTGACAGCTTCTTCCTGGTGCAGACGAGTGAACCTGTGTTACCATAAACAAGGTTGCTATGTAACAAAGTGACATACTTTTAAGAGGTCTGTTTTGTAGAAATGAAGTTTGAGTCCCCAAGTTGAAGTGCTGTTTGTAGTATGCCGAAGTGCTGTATGCAGGCAGATGTTTTGTCAGCAGTCTGGGTGCAAATAAAAGGAGAGGCTCTTAGCTTTGTGCTCAGATGCATGCCCCTAGCACTTCTCATACGCTTGTACCTATGTACTGTGGAGGAGGGAGGAGGCAGTGGTGTGAAGCCAAGGCAGTACTGCTCCAAGTTCTTACAGTTAGCCAACTGTTCACTAAGTGAACTTGAAATATTTTACTGCGTAGGGTAGGTGCTGATTGAAGTATGACTGCATGCTTACAAACTACTTACTGCTTAATTTGTTTTGTTCTTCAACTTGCTGCCAAATTACCCAGCTGGGCCAGTAGTACTTGCTTAGACAAATGTTTGAAGTAAATTGGGTTTGTCTGAAATACTGTTTATCTGTCTACCCTGAAGCTGGACCTGGGCAGCTTCAGGCATTCCAAAGTATATAAGCTCTTATTAAATGTAGAAAGTATCTGTAAAACAGACTTTCCTTTATGTCTGTAAGCCAATGCCAATATGTAAAATTGCAACATAGAAGTTCATGAAGGGAAGTGATGATAGGATGTGTTGTATATTCCTTTGAAAAATACGGAAAATGGGAAATAAATGATTGGGGGAAAATGGGGCAACATTTAAAGCTGTAAATAGTAGTGGCCACTGGGAGTCAGGTATGTGAAATATTTTGTTGATGCTCTGTCTTTCCAAATGAACAATGCTGTCCTTCTCAAAGAGAAGTACAAGTGAAAACATGTACTGAGCAGATACAGTCTCTTAAGTGGTAGGTGATGTGAAGCAGTAATGCTTTGTGTCACTTAATTCTTGCTTTCCTACACATAAGACTGTACTGTTGTTCATGTTATTAAAACTCTAGCGGGAGAAAAGTGTAAGAATAGAGGAAGCAGAGGAAGGAAATGATGTTCAGCGTTTGCCAGTAAATTTGTGTTACACTGTGAAGGTGATCTTAAATGCTCTGTCTGCTGAGCTTGAGGGTGGCAACACAGTAAGTAGTGGAGTACTGATCAGCTGGGAGCAGTAGCATGTCCAGTTGACACTACTAATCCAGAAGAGGATGTGTAATTCTTACTGTTGGCTCATTTTCTTTTATAGATGTTATAACCTAAAATATCCTGGGTTTCAAGTGAAGCTCTAGAGAAATAAGCATTTTATCTTGTGTGTGTTTTTCATCGAGCTCTTTCTGGCAGATAAAGGATCTATGTTTTAAAATTAAGAAATTGTTATTTAAAAAATCATTTCCTGAGTTACTTTTTTACTTAATCTTAAAGGGAGTAAACCAGATTGACAATGATCTTAAAGCAAGAGCCTCGGCGTACAATAATCTAAAAGGGAACCTTCAGAATTTGGAAAGAAAGAATGCGTAAGTCGTATCTGTTGTTTGTTGCTGATGTGTGAAGAGGTTGTTAATGTGTTTTTGAGGCGTTTGTCAATCTTGAACAATGGCTGTCATAGAACCAGTATTTATTACCAGCTGACTTGCTGGTAACAGCTCACTTGTGATTGGCAAGTGCTTGTGAAATATCCAAAAAGTAAGTATAAATTGCTGATGCCTTTGGGAGAAGTTCGCTGTTAAAGTGGTGTGTTGCACTGCTGTATTCATGTCTAGCTGAACAAGGAAGACTTTCCCCTTACTCCAGTTCTTGCTGTAAGCATCTCAATGTCAGTGGGTTTCTTCCATCAGAATTAACAAGCAGAGGGGCAGGTGTTGCATAAATGCAAGAATGCAATAAAAAGAGCTGCATGCTGCTGTCAGGTACATGTGATTATTCAAATACAGTCAAGATACAGTAGTTCTAAGAATGGTGGATTAATTTGACTTAGCACTGCCATTATTGTTAATGACTGTTTTATGATTGAGCTATAAATGCTTCTTGAGCCATAGTAATTTGTCAGCTAAGTCTCATAATGTCTGTGTAGGTTCTTATTCCTTAGTGAACAGGGCAATATGCCACTGCTTTAAATCTTCACTGAGGTTATGAGTGTAGGTCTGCAGCAGCTTAGTTGTAACTCTGAAGCCCCATATAGCAAATTTCATAGAGAATTGATGGTTCTTGTGGTTTTAAATCCCTCTTTAAAAGAGAATTTGGCTTCCTACTTCTGTGCGGTGTTTGGAATATAGAAATGCCGTACAGCAGTGGAGCTACTGATCTAAACAAACAAAAAACTTCCAGTGACTTTAGGCAGTGAGCTATAATGTTCATATAGAAACTTTTCCTTTGTTCTGCTAATAATGATTGCTTAAGTGAAATATTTTTGGAAAATGTGTATATTACCAGACACCAGAAACTATTGTGAATACCAGCTCAGTTTTCAAACATGCATTTACTGTGGTTGTCTTTATTTCTGTACAGGGGAAGCTTGCTAACCAGAAGTCTTGCTGATATTGTAAAGAAAGAGGACTTTGTACTTGACTCAGAATATTTGGTCACGTTATTAGTGATTGTACCAAAGTAAGTTTGTTTAACTGAAGAACAGAAGAAAATAATAAATTTTAATCAAGCAACAGATCCCTCAGCTATATAATACTGTAAGAGAGGATGCCTGGAATTGCTTTGTGTCTTCCTGGGTCTACTTAGGAAAACAATTGGATGCCTGTAGCAGATGAGCCCACATGCATGTATTCCATTGTTCATAGGAATGCTGGGTTCTCATGATTTTATTTTAAGAAACTGCAGATCATACTTCTGTTTCTTATCTGCCGTTAGCTATGGCTATTCATGCTGTGGAAGATATCCTTATGAAATAATTACAGAGTAAAAACATGAGTTCTTTTCTGTGAGATGGCTTAATGATTGAATTATCCAGATTAGCTCTACGCTGGCTTTCACCACGTAATGAACCAAGTGAACCCTTTGCAACTTTACTCTGTGCTCTTTCAGGTTGGTAGGACTGCTTTTGTACTTACTACATAAACAGGATTGCATTGGTAAAAACTTATGTAACGTCTAAGGTTTTCTGGGAACAGGTTGTTCCTAATCCAAAATGACAGTAGATCTGAAATAACAGGAAAAAAAATTATCCAAGGCAAAGTGGTAATACATATATCTTTAAAAACTTGTGAAACGAGAAAATAGCTGTGCTCTGGGCAGCCAGTTCTTTTGTCTTTGCAGTGCTAGACTGTCTTCCTGGAGCTGGGAACAAGGGGAATTTCTAACTTGTAAAGACAGCATCTAGGGCTGTTCATCACATGAGCTAGTAGTCTCTCACTTGTGAAACTCCAATGGCAAAACAGGTCCAGTAGTTTTGCAGAGAACTGACGGTTGGTTTACCTTGTCAGTTATTTTTCTTTTACCTTTGACTTGTTTGTGGTGTTAAAAGGATGTGATCCCTTCACCACTAGCTACAGAAGGGCAGAGATTTCCAAATTCTCCAGAGTATGCAGTGCTCTGGTGAACCCATTTGTAATTGCAGAAGGAGGATTCCCTTTGTACACAACTACGCTCTTCTGAGTTAAAGTTTGATAAACCTTGACAATTAAGTCCATTTGATCCTCTGAGATTTATGCTGAAGGATGATTGATTTCATTGCTCCTTGATTTTAAAACAATCACATGCTTGTCAATTTATACAAAAACTGAAAGTAAAATATTTCTCCCTTTTTTCGGTGTAGCTTATTTAGCAATAATTGTAAGAATTGTAAGGGGGAAACTGTTGTGTATTTGTGACAGCCTACAGCTGGGTTGGAAGATGTAATGATTAAATTTGTTTTGAAAAACTTTTTCAATTTGGATTTTTTCTAGAATAATAATCATAACCTGTGTATTTTCTAGGGTAAATTATAACGACTGGGTTAAGCAATATGAAACGTTAGCAGAGATGGTTGTTCCACGTTCCAGCAAGTAAGTTCTCAATGCAAAATCTCGTGTGCTTGTATTTTACATGGTGATCTTTATCTGTAGTGACTCTGGTTAGTCTAAAACTTGTCAAAATGTCTAGCTACACAGCTTGATCTGAGTAAATCAGGCTTGACTGTGTTGTGGTTGAAGAAAAAGTTTTAAAATCTGTCTCCCTTTAGGGTTGATGAGCTACCAAACTCCTCACTTATGCGGGAAGGGTGAGTTAATCTAGTTCAGGTCAGGCATATTTTGATACACTTTGAAAACTGCTAAAAAAAATCAAGAGCCAGAGATGTAGACTTTGGTCCTCTGTGCATAGTAACAAGTCACTTCTTGTGGGTTAGCGAGGGTCCCCACTGCCAGACTGTTGTGCATAATGGAAAAAACTAAAGCCAGGATTGGGTTAATGCTGTTAAGCAACTTTCACAAACTTATTACTATGTGAAAAATACAGTCAAATTATAGGAGAAAGCATTGCTGTGTTAATTTGAACTGACTGATTGGGGTTTTGATCAGGCAGATCTGATGTTACCAGCTCTGTGCCAGGTTTCATGTTTGGGTTAGATCAGTGTCAGCCTAGTAGGAGATCTGCTGATGATTCTAAATTAATTACTGAGAAACCATCACCTAGAGTTGTATTAAGAAGAGATTAAATCATTGTATAATGCTTGTACAGCACTACAAGCAGTACAGCACTGAAGAACAGTTTCCTCAAACATTCTTCTCAAAGTGAACTCTCAAAAAAAGCATTATTATATTGATCTGGACAGACTGGAGAGTTGATAGGATCCTTAGAGTTGGAAGGGACCTTTAAAGGTCATCTGCAATGAACAGAGACCTACAGCTAGGTAATGTTGCTAAGAGCCTGGTCCAGACTGGTCTTGAAAGTCTCCAGGGATGTGGCATCCACATCTCTGGGCAACCTGTTCTCAGGCCTCACCATCCTCACTGTAAAAGGCTTTTTCCTTATTTCCAACGTGAATCTCCCCTCTTTAAGCTTGAAGCCATTTCCCCTTGTTCCGTCGCCACAGACCCTTGTGGCAGTGGTCCTATCACCCAGCCTTCTTCTTTCCTGTAGCTCCCCTTTAGATACTGAAGTGCTGCTGTCAGCTCAACTTGGAGTCTTCTCTGGGATGAACAGCCCCAGCTCTCTCAGCCTGCCCTTGTAGGAGATGTGCTCCATCCCTTGGATCATTTTTGTAACCCTCCTCTGGATGCACACTCCTGTACTGAGGGCTCCACATCCGGATGCAGTACTCCAGGTGAGGTCTCAGCAGTGCAGAGTAGAGAGGCAGGATCACCTCCCTCCACCTGCTAGCTGTGCTGCTTTGGATGCCATCCAGGATATGGTTGACTTTCTGGGCTGCGGGGGCACACAGTTTCCTCATGTCCAGCTTTCCATCCATCAGTACCCCCCAGGTCCTTTGCAGCAGGGAGAAACCTGATGAAGTTGAATAAGAACAAGTGTAGAGTCTTGCACCTGAGAAGGAACAACTGTACGCATCAATACAGGTTATGGGCTGACCTGCTGGAGAGGAGCTCTTTTGAAAAGGACCTGATTGTTCTCGTTGACAACAGGTTGACCGTGAGGCCGCCGTGTGCCTCTGTGGCCAAGAATGCCAATGGTACCTAGGGGCACAGTAAAAGGAGCATGGCTAGCAGGTCAAGGGAGGTGATCCTCCCCTTCCACTCTGCCCTGGTGAGGCCACATTTAGACTACCTGTATCTAGTTTTGGGTTCCCCAGTTCAAAAAAGGCAAGAGATGTTCTAAGAGGAGTCCAGCAGAGGGCCACAAAGACGGCAGAGGACCTGGAGCATCTCCCATGTAAAGAAAGGCAGAGTAACCTCGGTCTGTTCAGCCTGGGGAAAAGAAGATTGAGAGAGGATCTGGTAAACGTTTATAAATGTCTGAAGAGAGGTGGGAGATGAACGGATGAGGCCAGGCTCTTGTCAGTGGTACGTGTTAGTAGGACAAGGAGCAGTGATGTAAAACTTCAACATAAGAAGTTCCATACAAACACACAGAAGAACTTCTTTATGGTAAGAGTGTTGGAACAGGCTGCCTGGAGAGGTTGTGGAGTCTTATTCTATGGAGATATTCAAGACCCATCTGGATACCTGCCTGTGTGACCTGTTGTAGGGGTACCTGCTGTAGCATTGGACTCGATGATCTCTTGAGGTCCCTTCCAACCTCTGTGATTCTGTGAAAGCATAGAATAGTAAATCTAGGCATCTTCTTTAAAAAACACTTATTAACACCAGCTTCCTTATTCCCTTTTTCTTTAGAACGTATGTTTAAGAATTCTGTAGTCTAAACTTTTCAGTATTAAGTCAAATCTACTTCCTTTTAGAGTAAAATGATTTTAATTTGAACCAATCCCTAAGCATATTAATTTGAACCAATCCCTAGGCATATGAAGTGCTTCTGTGTGGTAAAGTGTCACTCTTTACAAAGGAAATAATTAATAATGGTTGCTAAAGCTCTTGTTACTTTCTGTAGAGGGTGTTTAATTTGGGAACTCATCCCATGTGACTATTTACAATTATGTTCCGGTCTAAGTAGCAATAAAGTACAACTTAAGCCATTGTATTTCAGGTCTTTAATGACTTGAGCCTTAATTCTAACTTCATTTTTCTATAGTGTACTCTTTGAGGATCAGGACAGTTACCTTTGTAACGTCACCTTGTTCAGGAAGGCAGTGGACGACTTCAAGCATAAAGCCAGAGAATACAAGTGAGTCTTATTTTTATGTGTTCTCTTGTGCTTTGAAGCATCTCTGGATAGCTACTTCTGATTGTATTCACTTCCAAATGCAGATTTCTGGTCCGTGACTTCCAGTATAATGAAGAAGAGATGAAAGCCGATAAAGAAGAAATGAACAGACTGTCAACCGACAAGAAGAAACAGTTTGTAAGTCTGTGCAGGCCAGTCATTGCAGAAACCTAAGATGTCTGGGACTTGTTATTGCTACATCGCGATTTCATGAGCTTGTGATTGTGAGAGAGCATTGCAGGGATGACACATCAGGTCAGCCTGCCACCTGGTTAATCTTTTCAGGGATAACGGTGCTGAACCAAGAGTTGGTATTGCAGCTAAAAATATGTGAAATCTGAAAATGGGCAAACATTTGAATGGAATAATCAGATATTATTAAAATGGCCCTTTGTACGGTTAGGCCGTAACAAGTGGGATGATGTACTGAAGAGATAACCAAGTCTTGTTAAATTTATCTTTGCTTTGTGCAAAATCGCCCTTGAGCCATAATGTCAATAGCAAACTCTACCGTCAGTCACACTACAAATATTGAGTATCTGCTGAAGTGTCCTTAGTAGTCTGAAACTTTTCCTGAGGATTTTTTTCTCTTTTACAGGGGCCTCTGGTGCGATGGCTGAAAGTTAATTTCAGTGAAGCTTTCATTGCTTGGATTCATGTGAAAGCACTCCGAGTTTTTGTTGAATCTGTTCTAAGGTAATGAGACAGGCCTGAACAAAAAATTGTAGGAAGAAAAGCACATCTAGCTTGGCTTCACTTGCTTGAGTTTTGTTAATGCCACTCTTCCACAAAGGAGGAAACAGTGGAGTAGGGCAGCAAGAACAACTGTTGGCGTAGCTCTTGTTGCCAGGTGTGGAACATCTGAGGTAGACAACTTCATCTCATTCCTTCAGTGCTTTAGGGGAGTTGTCTGTCCATTGTAGCAAGACATTTCTGCTGTGTTTTTTAGCTTGCTTAATTGAGCTGCTTGTGAAAAGAGCTTACTATAGCTTTTGTTTAAGTGAGTAGCGTGGATAGTTCAGAATAAAAAGTTTTGAGGCTTTGAGTAGCAGTACAGTTTGACATCTTGAAATGTGTGCTAGTACACAGTAGTTTTCTTGTTTAGTATTTTAACTGTAAGATTTCTCTTTGTTTTTCTTCATACCATCCAGAAGCATAGCTAATGAGTTGACATTGCTGTAGTAGTTCAAACAGACCTGGGTTTTTTTCAGAGCAGAAAGAACTCAGTCAGAAAACCAAAAGGTGTTTTGAAGTTAGTTTTGCTAAGAGTTGTTGTCAAGGGTGCCTTCAGAAAAGGCCTTGCAATCTTGCAAACCTGCAATCTGATTTGTTTTTCATAGCTGCTGCAGGCTTGTTTTGAAGGCAATCTGAAAGTAAAGAAGGCAGTTTGACTTAGTTTGAATATTGGCAGGTATTTCTGCACATCTGGAAAGGTGGCTGGAATAGAAACTGGATGCTCCACCTAGTGGTGTAAAGGTAGTCTTGCTAGTAAATGAATGGAAGTGTTTGAAACTTCAGGTAATGTTCTGAGAATTTTGTAAACACTTGGATTTTAAAAGGTGTTTTGTTATTTTAAGCTTGAAGAAAGAAGTTCTGCTTCATGTGTTACTATGTGCGATGCAAACAGTGATTTTGCAGAAATAGAAATGAGTGGACTTTCCTCATCAGCAGAGGGATTCTTTCTCAATATCAAATACATTTCATAGAAGAGAGCTTATTTCATCTCTTGTTTGCTTAAATTCTCCAGGTATGGTTTGCCGGTGAACTTCCAAGCAATGCTGCTTCAGCCTAATAAGAAAACAATGAAGAAACTGAGGGAGGTTTTGTATGACTTATATAAACATCTTGACAGCAGTGCAGCAGCTATCATTGATGTAAGTGCTTTTGTAATTGTTTCTCTTAGGTTTATTGTGATTAAGCGAAAAAAAAAGCTTACTAGCTTCTTAAAAAGCTGCATCTCTTCATTTGTATTTTTTTCTGTGGTAGAAAAAACTGTCTCCATATAAAAATGCAGCTTCTATGTTACACTTCTGCGAAGGAGATGGTATGTGAAGTTGCAACCAATGTGTTTGAAGAGCTGTCTGGTGTAGTTCTGTTTTACTTCTTACTGCATTCTTTCTTGCTACCAATGGAAGGATGTCTTGCAGAATGGATACTTATTCACATCCTCAAAGAATTAAAGAGAGTTTTGATCTGAAATTAGGCTTAGAAACTTGAATGCGTTTCCTATCTTGTTTTTGACCCTCTAAGAAATATTTAAATTATCCATTGCCTCAGGTAACAGTGGTCTTAAAATAATGAAGTGAAGTTTTCTTTAGTTGCTAATTTGTATTTTTAAGCTCGTGTCATTGTTCTTTTCTGCTAACGAAATACAAATTGTGCAGATGGAGTCATCTGTTCCACTTTCATGTCTTATATTCATGTTTAAAACTGGTGTGTTGGGAGACTTATTGTACTGCTTCAATTTTATATTGAAAAGCAGTGCTTTTCATAGTTAAAAAATGAGTAAAAATTATCACATAGTGAGTTCAATTACAAAGGAAATCTTTTAGTTATATTTAGTGTTTTTTCCAAAATATTTCGAGACATTTTGGTGGAGAAGGAAATGTGGGATGATTAAAGTGAGAGTTGCTAAGCTTCGTGTAGCTTCTTGGATCAGTACCCTGTAACATTATTTGTGTGCGCTGGCTGAGTTCAGGAGTAGTAGAACATAATTGGAGTCCTTTCCCTTCCTTTTAGTGGCAGTGTGTTTACTAACGAAATGGGTGTGAATTATTGATGCAAAGTTGATGTTAAAGTTTTGGTTCATTTTCTCAAAGTCATAACTCGTTTGTTACCTAATTTCCCATTTTCAAGTGAATGTTTAAGCTTGAAGACTGATTGCCTTCTCAAACATCTGAATGTTTATATCAATTTCTGAGTAGGAGCCCAAGTTGTACGAATCTAACCAGCTTCAAAACTTATTTGCAGGCAACTATGGATATTCCAGGCCTAAACCTCAGCCAGCAGGAGTATTACCCGTATGTGTACTACAAGATCGATTGCAATTTACTGGAATTCAAGTAAAAATTCCCTAACGTGACAATCCTGTGTTGGTGTGAACAAACAGAAGTGAGGTTGAAGTAATACCTTTAACACTCTACTAACCATATGCTTGCTTCTTATGTTAGGTGAATTTTAAGCGCAGTGGTCCATCTATAGACATTTTCTTTTTAAAGGAAAGTGTAGTAACCTGCTTTTAAATAAACGTCTGTAAATGTATATTGAGAGAATTGAAGTATTTATAAACAGAGTGCTTTATTTAAGGGAAAGGTCATTCCTCTTTCATACGTGATCTGTGTTAATTCCATTCCCCACTGTTTATTAAAAAAATTGTTTACAGAAGAATAGTGTAAATGTTTATGGCCATTTTGTTTGTTTGATTTAGTAGATACACGTGTTAACATTGTTGAACTGTGATGTAAAGTATGTAAGATTGGTATGAAATTGTGCTTTCTGAATGTTGTAAAATTACAATTGAAGCACTGTAAGCACACAGGAAAAAATAAACATATGTGTGCAAATGTGTCACTTTGTTGTGCAACATCTAATTGCAGTTGGCTGTGTCTGAACCGAGGTGATGTGTTATGGCTTAAATCCAGTGCTGCATCCTGCCTGCATTGGCACAAAAATGCCATTGGCTGAAACACAAATACTGTTAAGAGTTGTAGGTATTTCTTTTACTGGGCAAAAATATGCAAGTGTGGTGACTGCTCACCAGACCTGTATATGAATGTTTGTCTTATTTATATCTTCGTGACTCTCAGGATTTGAGATGATTCTTCCACAAGTGAAGGTAAGGTGGGGTGCTAACAACCAATACTAATATGTTTTTTTTTTTCTTGTTGTGACATCCTTCCTACCATACAATACATGTTACAGCTGCCATTTAGTGTATTCATAGAGAGGGGTTTTAGTACCAATTGTCATACCTGCTATTAACATAGTCCATATTTCAGTTGCTAAATATATAATAACAACTGCAGTACCCTTTAAAACTGACTTAGGACTGAGATGGGAAGTGGCTGCTGTGAACTTCCTTTCAGTGGTGTGTCTGGGCTGGAGTTATTTAGGGCTGCAGTGGTTGATTTTGTTTGTGAGGAGTTGTGAGGAGGGCCAGCCTTAGAATAACAGATGTCTGATAATGTTGGGCCTTCCTAGGGGTGAAGAAGGATAATTTGGGTACAGGAACGGGAGGTGGTCTGTATTAGATTTAACTTATAAGAAAATGCTACAATAAGAATCTCCTTTTGATTTGGTTTAATGTATTTCTGCAGTTGTTAAAATAACTGTGGCAAATAGAACAAGGTTTAAAGTGTATAAAAATTGAAAACTTCATTTCTGAGAAGCATGCCAAGTGATTAAAATTAAGGTAAAAAGGAATTTGTGGAAGAAATGAAGAGTATGGTCTTCTCTGGAATGTGAGTGGTATGGAAATTTGATTTGTACTATAATAAGTAACAACAGGTGATTGATGGCCTAATAGGGAAAGCAGGCACATGTGGATTTTTACCATTTACATGGCTGGAAATAGTTGAAATCTGAGAAGGAGAGACAGCTGCTGCACAGCAGAGGTATCCAAAATAGCAACGCACCAAACTTTTAATAAGAATCTTGAAATGTTGATGGTTAGCTTTTACAGACTCACAAATAGGTTGTAGCAATGAAGCTGTATTAGAAAACAATACCTTCAGTGAGTTCTAGCATTACCTGGACTGGAGAGAAGTAGAGAGCTGGGTGGAAGAGGAGGAAATACGGATGTTAGGGAGAACTGGACAGTGAGAACATGCAAGCTAGGTGAGGGGACAGGTCAGAGTGGTGTAATCCATGGCATGAAGGCCATCCAGGTGGGTACCAGCGGTGGTGTGCCCTCGGGTCAGTACAGGGGCACCCAGTCAGGACAGAGTGCACCCTTAGCAAGTTTTCTGATGACGTACAACTGGGAGGAGTAGCTGACAGACCCCATGGCTCCCATTCACGGCGACCTCGTCACAGTGGAAGAGGAATAGGCTGATGAGAACCGTGTGACGTTCAGCAGACAGAAGCCTAAAGCTGTGCATCTGGGAAGAAACAACCAGGAGGCTGGTGGTCAACTAGCAGGGAGGGAAATCCTGCACAAGATGGCTACAGCTCCCAGGCACAGAGAGGAATTCCTGTTCTTCTGTATCCTAGAAGGGCAAACAGTAAATAGGCATTCAAAAGAGGTTTTGTATCAGGTGAGGTGACAGACATAGGCAGTATGGTGACATGTTGAATTACTGTTTTTTTTTTTTTTTTTTTTTTTATGTTAAAGATGGTCTTAATTGTTCTAATTTTTCTTGAGCAGAGACAGGCGTGTGAGTGCTCCTGCAATATTCAGGAATCTCATTCTGGGATTGCATTTGGTTTAAGGACTACAGCTGCTACACACAGCAAACCAGGGTGACCAGCAGATGCCAGCTCTTTGGTTCGGTGCAGTTTTGTTTTCTTTTTAATATAGCAGTATGTTAAAACACTCTGCTTTTAAACCTCCGTGTTAATGCTCGTAGGGATACTTTTGATTTTTGAAAGCTTTTTGAAAGATGAATGCATCTCTGTCCTGCTTAACTATTAGATGCAGAAAACCATGGCCCACAGGGACTGGTCCAGACACAGAAGTGGTGAGAAGGTAATCAGATGCCTGGTACATGAATTTGGTTTGACTTTGCTTTAGTAGAATTCACACTGTGGAAAGGATGCTTGAATTCTGCACATCTCTTATGTCAATAAAGGCAGTTTGTCTTCCACCTAACAGGTTTGATTCTTAGTGTACAAGGCTAACATTTGCCAGCAGCTTGGTATTTGCCTCCACGCAGATACTGTATAGTGCACAGTTTATCTTACACTAACTTTCATATCTTTAGGACACAGTATGTGAGATGAGTCATAAGCAAATGGCAGCACCCTTCACTTGGTGGGGATGGGATCTTTTTAGTGGTGCTTTAGTACAAGTGAATCAACTCCTGCCCTTTCTGTAATGTCACTGCAAGAATTACTGCTGGAGTAAATTGTGACACCTTAATCTTGCAAAGGTCAGCGTTTGCATTTTGTACAGCCAAGGAAAACAAGTGTAATATATGAATTCCTGCTAGTGCAACTTCATTGTGCCAAGAAGGTTTTTTCATGGAGAGGGCAGCCAAGCACTGGAATGGGCTGCCCAGGGAAGTGGTGGATATGTAGGAGATGAGTGTGCTTGGCACCGAGGGATGTGATTTAGTGATTGGACTTGGTAGGTCAGGTGGATGGTTGGGCTTAGTGATCTTGAAGGTCTTTTTCAAGTGAGATAATTCTATGATTCTGTCATTCTGTTCTATGAATTTGATCTTCTCTTTCTTGAGCTTCATTTGAGCCCATAAGCAAATTATTGCGGCATTATGCTTCTCTGAAACTTTTGGGCTAGGAAGAATATGTGCAATTTCTTTCTCTCCAGTGAGAAGAGAGTTTGAGGGGAAGCACAGAGGGCACAGCTGTTTTGTATGAAGAAATCTACAGGGGAGACTAAGTTAAGTAAATGGAGAGCCAGCTTTGAATAGCAAATGCTGTTTGGCAATGCTGTAGCATTCATGTTAGAGTTTAAAAAAACAAAAAGTGAACGTGCATGCTGTTATAGGTCTGTTTGCTATTTATTGGCCTGTGCTCGGTTATTCTGAAAACAGCGTTTTTTAGCTTTTGTATTATGTAGACTCATTAAGGACTTCTGCTGCCCTGCATGACGTGCTTAAGTGTGCTTCAACAAAGTCTTAAAGCTCCTTTTTTTTTTTTTTTCCACCTCTAGAGAGCAGCCTCGAGCTGCTTTCGTGGAGCAGTCCCAGGGAAACGTTCAGCTCTTACTGAGAGATAAAGGTTTGAATTTAAATGTTTGATCTTTTAGTTATTGCATTCTGTAGCCTTATACTACCAAGGAAATACTTAGTATTGTGCATAATTACTATGCTTTGCTTCCCCATGCTCCTCTGAGATTAACACTCTGCTGTACACATTCACTTACTGGTGAGCTGGAAGTGGACTCACAATTGCTACCTAGAAATTCATATTGTATCTGAAATTAAAAATATAGGATTCCAGAACTGGATTTAGCTACACTGTCTATTATTTGAGTTGATTTCAGGCTTGCCTTTTCTTTCCAGTCTCATCAGAAGGAAATCATAGTTGCTGTGGACAGGACTACACAGGTACTTTATTCCCCCATAAATCCATTTGGCCATTTCCTGCCTTGTGGCAGTGGTGGGGCCAGTATGAGGAAGCAGAGCTGCCAACAGACCCAGCTGGGTTTTCCATTGTGTGGGTTGCCTGCTCTGACGTGCGGCACTGCACATCTGCCAGCGGTAGCAGAAGGGAGATGGAAACAAACCTGGGTGTTGGAAGCGCTTGTCAAGATCATGGTTGCAATGCAAAGCCAGCCCAGGAGCAGCTGTCCCTCTGTTGCTCTCATCCAGGGGAAAGCAGGGGAAGACAAGGCTCTGGGCAGGAAAGGGTTTTCAACTTAACTTCACCTTAAAATGTGATGGGGAAAACAACTGCAAAAACAAATTCTGATTTAGAGTACACGGCACAGTGAGAACCCATTCTCCACCCGGAGCAGCCAGGGACAACGGCCCTTAGCAGGCTCCTCCTGCTCTCCTATGTCACCTTTCATCATGTCATTGGCTGCTCTTTCCTGAGTCTCAGCTTTTGTCCTTCTGCTACTTTGACTTTCCTGTCTTATTTTTACTGCTGTTCTTCAATATTCCTTCACTACCAGAGGCTGCAGTTCTGAATGCTTTCATGTTGCTTAGCAATATTCTTCTTTCCTTCTCAGGAGCTTGGTTTTCTTAGAAATATTCCATGTTTGCAGTCCTTGCTTGCTTGTCCTGAATTCTGATGTCTCCTAATCTTTATTCCCCATAGCTAAACAACAGCCTGACAGGCCGAGTTCACCCAAGTGAATGTTTGTAGGCATTACTAAGGCTACTTGGACAGTACTGTTTTGGAATTGGTTATATTTCACCAGATCCTCGGTGGCTGTTTAGTCGTTAAGAGGCTTGCTGCCTGCTTGTTGCTGCTTGTTGCTGTTTGCCCCAGACCAAACGCGTGCCATGGGGCTGCCTGTGCTGCTCTAAAGGGCCATCAAACAAAATGCACTCAAATTACACATTATTCAGTAAATCTAGTCATTATGCTCCATTGATGAAGAGTCTTGAAAAAATTGAATTATACATGGATTTCTCAGTCACCAATAGTACAGAAAGCATTTGAAGAGGCAACAGGGAAACAATGCAATTTTGACCAGCTGCTAAACCCAAGCTATTCCCAGAATCCCAGTTGCTCATTGCAAAATCATGTCCAGAAATACTGGTGTTGGTGTAAATGCTTTTACATCTCATTTCAAGGGTAAGGTTAACCCCTAGTAAGTAAGTGCCAGAAAAACAGGTTGTAATTGCTATTAAGAAGACCACCTGTGAGGTAGCAAAGGAATGCCAGCAGCTCCCTATTGCACAGAAAAGCAGAAGTATCTGCCACACTCATTTAGTGGG